AGCTTCAAGAGCATATAAAAACTCTGCTCCTGTATAGTTCATACCCTCTGTATGGTTCCATGGTATAATAATAATACTCTGTTATTATCGTCACACATTATATCTTTATACATTGTGTCATTGTTAACATAGATTTATGATTATATTTATACACTTGCCTTTTAAATCATTCAGGAAATAAAAAGAGTAGATATGAACTAAAAGTGTAATAACATTGGTGTTTGTATTTACCTACATAAATACAAAAGTATTTACCTTTACAGGGGCTCTTTGTTTCTTCACGTGGCTTCAAGTTACTGTACAGTGTCCTTTTGTTCAGCCGGAAGCACTCCCTTTCTTGTGGTGCATTGCTTATAGAACAGGTCTACCAGCAACTAACTCCATCAGCTTTTGTTCATCTGAGAATGTCTTCATTTCTCCATTTTTTGTTTTTTAAATATTTTATATGGTAAAAATATACCAAAAACATTTTTTGTTCAAAGAGGAAAAAATATATTGCTGTGACTACATTTCTAAGGATGATTTAAGTAGTGTCTGGCTCCTCATCTGTGTACTGTAGTGTAGGTTGACTTCAATCATGACTTTTCCAGCTACAGCCATTTATCAAAGCTAACATCATGCTTTAAAGACACATGAAGAAACAGAGCAAGTGGAAACTGTTAGGTCGGAGAGAGCCCAGGGTCGGATACATGCAGATGTGTGATGAGATAATGGATTCCTCCTGGCATTTCTAACAGCGTGCCAGACACAGCTATCGGCTTCTCCCTGAATCAACACGACTCCCACACAGATACTGACTCCTTCCTGAATACCCCTGCTGACTCCCTGCAGTGGGAACTTCCTCAGCTGAATACCTCAGCTCATGTCCCCGCCCCTCACCCAACCGCAGTATAAAAAAAGCACCCCCCTCCCTGTTGGCGTGAATCCATGTGCCCTGTCTTTGGGGTCCGTGGGTCTCCCGGGGATGCAATAAACCTTTCCTTTTCTTTTCTGATTCACTCGACTCTTTATTTTTTACACCGCCTCCTGAGCCACCTAACCTAACAGAAACTAACCTTGATCATGGCTTATTTCATGTGTGACTTCAACTGTCCTCGATTCTTTATTTCTGTTGGATCAAACACTCCCTTGTTACGACTTGGCACCATAATGAACTGATAGATACTCCAAGTAGCAACAGGCAAGTTGAGAAGGAAGATGAACCAGTGCAATGAAATGAGCATTAATTCAGTGATAGTGGTATGACCAATCTGGTAATTCTGTAATTACCTACTTGCGTAATGTCAAGCAACATGATCTAGTATTAATGTAATCATATTCTAAATCAGACAATGTAATTATGAAGTATACTGAGAGGAAGATGAGTGAGCAGCAGTCGAGGACAGAGGAGACAAACACCAGTGCCTCCATCCTCATCCTTCTCTACCGCTGATCTTTCCATCAAGCCGACTCTGGTGCTCCTTAATTTCTCCATTTTTTAAAAGAAAGCTTTGTTGAATATAGAATTCTTGGTTGACAGTTCTTTTCTTTCAGGACATTAAAAATACCATCCCACTATCTTCTGTCCTTTGTGGTTTCTGATGAGAGAGATGCAAATCTTATTGAGGATTCGTTGTCCAAGATGAGTTGCTTTCTTCTTGCTATTTTCAAGATTTTCTGTTTTGTTCTTTAATAGCATCATTATAATGTGTCTTGGTGTGGATTTCTTTGTGCTCTCTTCTGTGGGGAAGTAAGCTCCCTGAAACTGTAGATTCCTATCTTTCTCAAATTTGGGAGGCTTTGGTTATTATTTCTTCTGATATCCTCTGTAAGTGTTTCTCTTCTCCCTCTGAGATTCTCATTATGAATATATTGATATGCTTGATGGCGTCCTATAGGTCTCTTAGGCCCTTGTAATTTTTTTCTTTTTACTTCTGAGATTGGATAATTTAATTGCTTGATCCGAAAGTTCACTTGCTCTTCTGCCTGCTTATCTGTTGTTAAAGCCTTCTGGTGAGTTTTTTTCATTTTCATTATTATACTTTTCAGCTTCAGAATTTGTCTGAATCCTCTTTATAATTTTTATCTCTATTGAAATGCTCTATTTGTTTATATATCCTCCTCCCAGTTTTCTCTAGCCCTCTGAAGGTATTAGAGACAGTTGATGTAAAGTCTTTGCCTGGTACGTCAAAGACTGTTCTTCGTCAGGGACCATATCTGTTAATTTCTCCTGTGAATAGGCTGTATTTTCTTGTTTCATTGAATGCTTCATAATATTTTGTTGAAGACTGGACATTTTTAATATTATAATGTAGTTACTCTTGAAATCAGATTCTTCTCAGGGTTTGCTTTTCTTGCTTATTGCAGACTATAGCTGTTTGTTTAGTGACTTTTCTTAAGTTTTTGTGAACTTTGTTTTTTGTGTGTTGTCTTTGAAGTCTCTGTTCCTTCATTTTGTATTCAGTTAGTGTTTAGACAAAGATTTCCTTGATCATAAGAAGCCAGAGAGAAAGAGAGTGAGTGAGGAAAAGAGAAAGGGAGAGAGAAGAGAATAAAAGAGAAAGGAAGAAAGGAAGGAAGGTCATGTGTGTTGCTTTCTAAAGTCCTGAATATATACGGGTGCTGTTGAAAGTCCTAATTTCCTATGGATGCTCTTCCCCTACCTTTTCCTCCCAAGCTTTAGCATCCTATTGTGTGTCTCAACTGTGATATTTTGTCCCAGAAGGCTGTAGGTTGTTTTCTTGCCATACAATGCTTTTGAGGAATGCCTGCTGCCTTTCCTCCTCTGAATGGGGTCTGAGTTAGGTAAAATAAAGACAAATACATTGTGTTAGGCTTTCAAGCAGCCCCAAGGCAGGTTAGAACAGACAAACAATTATTTTAAAATAAAGTCTGCTCTGCTCCTTCTAGAGCTGGGGACTAGAGTTCCACACTGGGAATGCGGATTGCCATCTTCGAGACAGCCACTAAGCTGGGGACACGGTGGGGAAAGGGCAAGTAGAAATGCCACAAAGCTTTCCTACCATTTTCAAGTTTCCTTTCCTGTCATTCAGAGTTCACTTAGGTGCCATTGACCTTTGACTGCTAGCCAGAGATCTAAGTTAGTTCTGACAGTTGGCTTGATTTTCTCTGTCCTCTTTTTGGAAGGACAAGTGTTCGCATTGGCCTACCCTGCCATTTTGTGTGAGGTGAACGTGATAACCACTACACTACGGAAACCGCCAGGCCCTTCCATTTTGGTTGACCTCCTTCTCGGCACTGAATGTAGCCTCCTGGGCAGATTCTATTCCCAGCACCTTGTTACTCAGCTGAACATTACTCTAGTCCTTCCTTTCTGAAATGCTACCCATTTATATCAAGATTTATGATCAACGTTAAGAGTAAAAGAGCCATTTAAGATTTCAGGGTGGGATTATACCACAGCACAGTGCCACCCCAGTAGACAACTATGTTGAACGGAGCACTTGGCTTCCCTGTTCTTTAAGATCCCTTGGTTATTCCTACAGCAGTCTCTCCCTCTGTGCTCTGGAGTTTGTCACCGTTCTCTCCTGCGTCTCTTTACCTCTTTGCCTGAGTAGGTTCAGTAACTTCTTATTTCCCTATTCAGGAAAATGCCAGTCTATCCCACTCCCAGCCACCTCTGCCATTAACATATCCATGGCCAAATCAGTTCATCAGAATGCTTTGATATAAAAAAGGAGAGGGGATCTTTATTAATTTCTTGCAGCTGTATATATTTTATTTTATTTGAAAATTTAGATACATTTTGAAACTTCTTTGAACACATTTATATTGTCCCTATGGTAACCTCCATTTAAAAGTAGTTACTTCCCAGATTCCATTTTCTTTTATAAACTAACTAGAGGCCCAGTGCATGAAATTTGTGCATGGGGGGCAGGAGTGTCCCTCAGCCCAGCCTGCACTCTCTCCCATCTGGGCTCTCTCTCACAATGCAGGACTCCTGGCTCCTGCCCAATTGCCCCCAACTTCCCTCCCCTGCAGGCCATCTTATGGTGGCCATCTTTGACCACATGCTGCTGGCCATCTTGTGTGTTGGAGTGATGGTCAATTTGCATATTACTCTTTTATTAGATAGGATATTTTAAGAAGTTCTGAAAATTTCACAAATATGATAATAACTCCTCTCAGAATGCTGTTTGTTAAATGAATAAAGACAACTTTATTGTTGGATTATTGTTTAGTGAAAAAAAGAGAGGCTTTTTTTCTTTTTGTAAGCGAAAACTACTATTTTTAGTTTTTTTTTTTAAAAATAAAATTCTGTTTTTGTTCCAGGAACTGAAAATATAGCTGAAATGTCTTTTTTATTCCTTCAAAAAACAATTTTTTCTTATTATAAATCAACACACTTTTTGGTATTTAAAAAAGAAAAGTGAAGGATGAGTAAGACAGAATTTCTGAATTCTGAAAATTCATAAATGTATAAAACAGAAAATAAAAGTCACCAGTAATCCCATCACTCAGAGATACCAACTGTTATCTGTTTGATATATACTCTCCAAGAACTTTTTTTTTAATTTTTTTGATTTTTTTACAGAGAGGAAGGGAGCATTTGTGTGTGAGTGTGTATACACACAGATACATGTACATATGTTTGTGTATATTTTTTATTTAACAAGCAGATTTTAATAAGGTCTTTTGTTAGTAAATATAGAATGCATTGTTTTAATGGGTGCGTGGTAGTTCATTTATGGATGTGCAATCATTTGATCAGTCTCTTATAAATGAGCATTTAGTTTATTTTCATTTGTTTTCTGCTATAAACATTGCATATACATATATTTGCATATATATTTTTAGAAGTTATAGGAAATTTAAAATATGTAATTCTGATTTCTTAGGTAGTTTTCTTTAAATATTTGCTTCTATAAATTGTGCCAAGACAAAGACAGTTTTTGGAATCATATTTTAAAATGCTATGATCACAAAAGTAGGCAATCTTCAATAAATACCTAAAATGTCTTAAGATGACCTTCCAACCTGGCTACAATCTGTCATTTCAGCTTTAACTCCCTGAATTGCCCACAAAGTCTCCACTCTGATCAAATGGGTTTATTCATCTGGTGATAGAAAAGAGCCTGTACTTTGCTACCTTTCTGCCATAGCACTTGCTGCCTCTCCAGGCTGGGAAGGCTGGAGATCTCTTTCTCTTTCTCCCCACGGATCAAATCGAATTCAGAAATACTGGTAAGTCTAGCTCAAATCTCAGTCCATGAACTCTTCCTGACCTCCTAGCAGGAAGGAATTTTTCCTTCCATTGAAGTCCCTTGGCACATGGTATGTGCACCATTTTGAGGGGCAATAAAAATATACTGTCTTGTAACAGTTCCTTGTCTTGTTTTTTTTATTTTCAAATGTTATTTAAATCTTGTTTCTTACTTCCCCACTGGCATATCTCTATCATCTTGCTACGACTGTACCAAAAGACGACTGAAGGAGGAGATCAGCCTTGCCATTTGCTCAGCACTGTACTTTGCACATAGAAGGAGCTTGGTAAATATTTATTCATTTAAATATGTTTTTATTGATTTTTTTTAAAGAGAGAAAAAGGGAGAGGGAGAGAGAGAGAAACATTGATGTGAGAGAGTAACATCAATCTGTTGCCTCCCACAGGAGCCGGACCAGGGATGGAACCCGAAACCTGAGTATGTGTCCCGACAGGGAATCGAACCTGTGACCTTTCCAGGCACGGGACGACGCTCAACCAACTGAGCCACACAGCCAGGAAAATATTTATTTATTTAATATGATTACTATGAATTACAGATCTATATTACTAAAATTCTCACTCGGTTTAATTTCTATACACAGATAAAAGCATACAAAACAGCAATTTCTTAAAGCTCTTTCAGCGAGATAGTAACACAAATCTCTGTTACTGACTATATCCTGCCATTGTCGTTAACTGAGCTGTGTAATCTTTGAATCAAAATAAAGTCTCAAGATTTTTATATATTTTTACAATATTTAAAATGTTTTCTTAAAATAGTTTGCATAAACATCGAATCACTTACCTTAGAGAAACTTAAGTAGAAGCACAAAAGTAACAGGAGAGCGTGGGCAAGCTTCATGGTGGAGACATTCAGGGTCTGCGTGTCTACTGTGGATGCTTCTCTGCCCCAGATAGTTTTTCCAAATTTAATTTTTAACCTCTGAAAAAATATTTAAAAAGATCAAGCCTTCTAAAGGGCTTTGTACTTTTGAACTCAAAGAGAATTTGGCTACAGTTCAAAAGTTTACCGTAACTGAAACAAACAAAAAAAAAGGCCTTTCAGCAAATAGAAGAGGGAGGCGACCAATAGGGACTGCATTTCCTCCAGAGGAAACTGATTTCCCACCTCATTACTGAACAATACCTCCATTCTGTTTCCTAGGGAGGACAGAAACTACACTGCAAGACAACTTTTTGTGCTTGTGGTAAAATAAAATTATAACATGTGCCCTCTAGGTTGAAGACCAGGCGACGGCAAGAAGTAAAAGTGCATCAGATTAAAGGCTATCCAGAATACCTTAAATCCTCCACCAAACAGTTCCTTTAGCACGCACTGGCTGTGCTGTGATCAAGTCGTATTCTCTGAGCACAACAATAAATACTTTTTAAAATAAGTATTCTTGCCCTGGCACCAACGACAATGCAGGACTCATGTGTGTTTGTAAAATAAATTTGTGACCGCATTTCTGCTGACACCGTTTGGCTTCTCCTGAAGCAGACCTGAGACAGAGCTGCAGGGGTTGGGAATGTGAGCTCTGGAGTGAGTGTGCCTGTCCCAGGGTCCCTGGGTCACAGTGTCCCTGGGGCAGGCAGACATGCCTGGACCATTAAACCCTGTCTTGTTCAGTCACTCGGTGTAGGTTGTCCAGGAAGGACATGCCTTCGGGTGAGGCAGTTTTCTGTAGCTCAGGCAGACCCTGAAGGAACTGACAGATTCTGTTAGAACAAAGTGTCAGCAAAACCTTCCTTGAAGAAGGAATCTGGGGAAATCCCTTCTTCGGTGTGAGAGATGTTTCCTTGTCTTTCAGAGCTCACATTTACACCTTTTAGATCTACTTGCCATAAATGCTCCCAGTGACTCCTTCAAAATGTCAGTGGGTCTCTCTTCTGGAAGGAAAAGTTAGAGGGAGGTGTCCCTGTCGTTGACCTTGGGGCTGCAGCTGCTACTCATCTGGTCCATTTTAGATTCCCTTCACCCTGACCTCCTCCCTCCCGGCCTCAGTAGCTTACCTGATGGAATAACCTCTCCCAGAAGTGGTCAGTGGTCTGAGCCTCTGGTTATCAGGCCTTTCTAGTTGCCCTTGCCTGCCACAAGAGGCACCCAAGTCGTTCATACGGCCCCATACATATTACATAACAGCTGTCCTCCTTCCTCCGAATGGCCGGGGCCAGTAAACCCTGTCAAGGTGATGACGCCTCTTCATTCCTGTTGGTCTCTAGACACCAGGAGCCCAATGCGCAACGGGCAGAAGGCTTAGCTTATAATCCAGTGTGATTCTTGCTGAGTCCTTTGGAGAACAAGACCTCTAATCCTGCAGAGTCCACGGTTGTGGGGACAGGGAGCAAAAAGTCCCCAACTGGTCATTGGGAAGAGAGAATCGGGAAGTTATCATGCTACAGACAGTATATGATATAGTTTAGGAAGAAAGAATGACAGGGAATTAAAAA